CGTATGAACATAGCCTATCTACTCCAGTAACATCAACAAACAAACGATAACCGCCGCCGTCCCGCTGACATCCAATTTCTAAAGGTGCGACCAAACTTAAACATTTTAGCCCGAACGAACAGAATGAACTGACTGCGCAGAGGCAGAGCAGAATTTGTAAAGTCTGGATCTGTCTCCGAGCCGAACCGAATGTGCCAAACGTTTTCCGGAGCTTGTCGATAAATCGGAATTGCTCAAAGGGTGCTCTGTATGGCTCAAAGGGATTTATGGTTCGCCGAATTATTCAGTTTGACGGGAATAAGTTAAGTTCTTGCTATTCGCAGCGTTCAATGTTCATGTCGTTTGCGCCGTGTGGAAGGTATACATAGCATCAACAAAAAGATTTATTATTTCCACATATGTATACAATACTTTGAAAATGGAGTGGGATAGGGAAAAGTGTTTAACATTAATAGACACTTATGAGCAATCCCCTGTGTGTAGAAAGAATTTTCGTATCCATTGACTTCGTCGTTTTTTCCCATTTTTAACCAATTTACAGATTATAAAAAAAAGCGTTAAAAGTTACTGCTAATAAATCAATATTCATATTTTTTGTCTCTAAATCTCTCAGTAAGAGCAAATATCATATACATCTTATACACGCACACACTTTGAGCAACTGGAACATTTATAAATATTTATATTCGCGCGAACGCAATGATTTTTTGTTCGGACTATTTGTTCTGCTTTCTGCGCGCTCAGTTGGTTCTCTTCGTTCGGGCTAAAATGTTCAAGTTTGGACGCACCTTAACAGTCAATAGTTAATTTAACGAGTAGATAGAAAGGGCAACATTGTTTGTTGAACGTTGACTGTTGACATTTAACTCTTTTGTTATAGGAGTGTAGGGATCTATTACATGTTTTGTGAACAAGTGCACAGAACAGAGGGGTTTTGTGAGTGTAGGAGTAAGAGAGAGATAGTCGTGTTTTGTGAATATATAAGTTTAGTATGTTTATAATTTTTATCTGACAAATTCAAGTAGGTACTATAAAGAGTATAAATAATTATTATAACTGAACTTTGCTCTAAGGTTTGGGTCCATTCCTTTAATTTTATATTCAGTTTCAGTTTATTGGTAAAAATTGAGATATACAGATAAATTATAAAAATGTCTAATAGTGAAATCGAAGAATTTAGAAAAGCTTTTTTAAATGATTTCTCAAAAAAGGGAAACGATAGTAAGTATGTAATATAGATATAGTAATTACTATATTATTGAATATCCATAGGTGTTCACCCAAAGGATTTGGAACGAGTAAAAACGGATGATGATTGGTTACAAAGGTTTTTGTTACATCAAGAAAATAATATGCAAAATGCTTTGAATATGTTATGGGTCTCATTAAATTGGAGAAAAGAGAACAATGTTAATGGTAGTACACTGCCCAATAAATTTAATAAAATATCAAGTGTTTGTAGAAGACTGACCAGTACTATATTTTAGATATAAATGAGAATACTGTTAAAATGGATATTTTATGTTCTGGCGCTTTCTTCCCACACGGAACTGATATAGATGGCTGTGAATTACTTATATTCAAATGCAAACGTAATATAAAAGGAGGAGTTGACCAAAATGAAGTAAGACGATGTGTTATTTATTGGTTTGAACGGCTAGAAAGGTAAATACTTCACCTGTTCATGAAGAAAACTGAAAATTCAATTTTTTAGACAAACTAAAGGGAAAAAAATTACAATATTTTTTGACATGGAAGGTTGTGGCCTAAGTAATATGGATATGGACTTTATCAAGTACCTTATTGGCCTTTTTAAAGAGTATTATCCATATTTTTTGAACCTCATAATCATTTTTGAAATGCCTTGGGTCTTATCAGGTAATATTAAAATTATAATATAATATATAAGAATTTAAAATGAAAATTGCATGTAATATTTATCATATGTATTTTTCAGTTTTTTTATAATTAACACTATATTAAAATACAATCGTATTTTCTCTCCATCTGTCGGTGATAAATGTAAAACCAAGCTTCAGTAGTCTATTTAAAGACGTAATACTGGATGTTAAAAAATATATATGACATTGCTAATCCTCAATTTAGTTTTTCCATACAAATTGATCCATTTGGATGATGTAATAGTAGTGAAGGTACATGATACAAGGCAATTACTTTTAATTATGCAAAATTTGACCTTCATTAGTAAACAATGTACTTGAATATTTCTTTCTCAATATATTGAAAAAGTATCAACATGTAAATTATTCCCATTGTATCTGTAGGGTTTTATACATATTTATATGCTAAGAAAATAATATTATTTCTAGTTTCATATTAAATATTAATTTCTGTATTGTAAATATAAATTGTTGATAAAATATTTGACAATTAACTTAAGTCAGGCCATTCGTTTTATTGAATTTCACGTGAAGAATAATTATTAAT